CCCCCCCCCCCCCCATTTGCACTCGAAAAGGCTGTTTTTAGCCCTTTTATAGGGGAAGCCTCACATATCGATTTTGTCCATGAGAAACGTCATATGTTCGTTTCTCTGGAGACCCCTCCCCACCCCCCCTTAGAAACGTCACACATATTTATCGCTATTTTGTTCTTATAGTACACATAAGGTAATTTTTACTATTTTCTATGGTCGGCTATTGGCGATTCTTCCGCGAAGAATATGTCATCTTCTGCTGACATATCTTTTTTTATTAATATATATGAACTTCAAAATTTCCAATGTTCAGTCTCAAAACAACTTTTTTTGCATGAAATATTCATAATTTTAGCACGTTTTTCTTGAAATTTGAGTGTTTTCAATGCAAAGGCGTAATAATATAAATGTATACGTATATAGAACAGGTATGGTATCTTTTTTATTCTGCCAAGATGATTCCGAAATGTTAAGGCTTTCAAAAAAATGATCGAATTTTTCCATGATGTTTACTGAGAAACGTCACAGCTGCAAACCCCCACCCCCAAACGAACATATGACGTTTCTCGTGGAAAAAATCGATATGTGAGGCTTCCCTAGGTCAAAATTTCCGAAAATTCGTCATTTTCCACGAAGGTGGGGGGCGGCCGCCCCACCGAGAATTCCGCCACTGAGCCCAGGAATCATCTTTAAACTGCCATTTATGGTATTTTTTAAATTTTATGTTTAGGGACGAGTTGTACTTTATAGTATTTATATTTATACGTATATTTTCGAAGAATAGCTGAATATATGTGGAGCATTTGAATCAAAACATGTAGTACTGGCCAGTGTTTTTTTCTATGTTTATATTTGGTTTTTTCGCATTTTAGTCGGATAAAAGTACATTTCGGGCTTGGTACTAAGTCCATTGAAGTCAATTTACTGTATTTTGCAATCTTTAGTGACTTTAGTATCGATAGCATAGATTTTTCGATTTTCGAGTTTGAAAATTGTCTTCGCTCCTCGCGGTTTGTCGCTAAAAAATAACTCTTGCCTTTTGGACCACGGTCCAGATGTCGTAAAAAGCTGCCGGCTCCTGCAGCCAATCAGATTACAGGAAATAAGAAAATAGGCACTAGGCATGTACAAATAAAAAAATAAAAGGGATATTTTTGTTTGTAGAAGTAGGATACGGATTATTTTTAAATTTTTGCTAGGATTATGGATTATTCAGACCCCCCCTAACAGGGCCTCACTCACTAATTTTGTGCTGTTTTTCAATGCTATAAATGCTAAATGCGCACTTTTTCAAAGTAATATTTACGGAGAGGGGAAATCCGACAAATAATGGCATAATGGTAATGGCCCGCCCGCCCGCATCAACTTTAGGCGAAGCCCCGGATGAGAAACTAATATGCAACTGATAGTGGCCTTAATAATAAAAAACATAAAAAAGCTTAAAAACATTAAAAAACTTACCATTAAGACATGGCTGTTCTTTCATTCAAGCGTTGTCTCTTTATCCATGGTCGAGTTGCCAGTAGAATCTTTTATAAACCAGTAAAGCGATGTAGTGAAATTTCGGGGGCCGTCACTCTTTTAAGAGTGAATTAAAATTCACAACTAACAATAAGAATTAAAATTCACAACAAACAACATCACAATATGAATAAGTCAATGCACGTATTTTACTCTCTACTACAGAATGTTTTCTACGTCCATTGAGTTATAATTTCCAAAACTAACCAGTCGTTATAACGTAAAATAAGCGAGTATTTGTGAACAAAAATACCGTTTGATGACACGAAGTATTATCGGCGCCATCTTGTCTTCTACAAACATTACAAATTTTCCCGCCAAAAACTCTGTGGTGAAGGCTAAGTCCCGTATGAAATTGACGTCACAGGTGTTATTGGTCATGCGTACTGAGCCATACTAGGTAAATATTTCAACTGAATACGCACAAATCCATTTTTAAACCCTTTTATCTTCGTTATTCTTGCTTTCCGCAAACTATTCGACCCAATCAAGATTACAACACAACAATTTTGCCCACTAAACAATTAAACATTATAAAATGTGAATCAATGAACATAAAAAAGCCATGATTATTCCATAATTTACAGAAATATGCTCTTCGGGCAAACATCGGGAAAATCCGAAGTTGTCTCAGCCACTGAGCTGTATACGGCACCGGATGTCTGTCCAAGCTTGTTCTGGCCATTAAAGACCATTAAATGGTTCTGGCTTATTTTCAAAAACATAAGCAACAACACTAGTTTCTTCTCAGCACATTTTCTCTGCACACCTGCAACGGTGCGACCAGCAGGTATTAAAAATCATCGATTTATAGCATGATACAATTGATATTCAATGTTGGGCTGTGGTTGGGCCCTCCAGGCATAGGAGCCCAGCAAATATTTGTACTCAGTTAAAAATGTGTTAAAAACAGTTAAAATGTGCATAAAGTTCACCTGACTTTGGCACTATCGATATTGGCAATAATATTGTGTAGCTCGCATCATGCATGCAGGCTATAGACTTGCATGGTTACGTCATGTATTGTCATATTGACATTAAACCATGCGACACAATAAATCACTAGAAAGCAAAATGAGGCAAACTTATGTGCATTTTTAAATGTTTTTCAACACAGTTTTATGTGAATACATGTATTTTCTTGACTGCCTGTGCTTCACTAGGCTGAATATAAAGGAAAGGGTTCACTATTTAGGAGGGGGGATTGCACACCCATCCCCCCCCCCATCCCCCATGGCTTTGGACACAAATTCAGTTCGAACATAGGTGATCGAAACAGCTGGTCAGGGACAATCTTTTAAGACTGTTGAAACTGTGAATTGGGTTAGCACATTGCCCACATTGACTGCATGGGAAATGAGATTGATAAAAAATGTGGAGATAGAAAATGTGATCTAATTAGCCCCTAAACTGCTCCAGCCTCCTCTCATTCATTATGTTGGCCTACCCCCAGCAGCTATTTTAGAACTCTACCACCATCTCCCAATCCAATCAGCTCACCCTCTCTCGTAATTAATAAGTCAGGTTCGATCCTCCTAATGGAACTTTTGGGAGCTAGAATAATTGTCATGAAAGTACAAACATTACTTTTTAGTAACTACTTTACAGTGTTCTGGGAATTCAACCCGGAAATGAACAAGTACTGTGTCTTTCCAATTTTCAAGACTAGATAATAACTAGTGTATTAGAACATTCGAAAGGGCAAGGGGGGTTACTTCCAATTTCCTCCATGGTAGAGGTATGGATGTTTCCAATGCATTTTTTATTGAGAAAAATAACATATGCAATGATGCGTCATGTAGAAAATCTTTGTTAACCACGTTTTTTTATTAAAAACGGAAGTGGGGTCTAACAATGTGGAATTAATATCACTGCATATATTTCAGAGAATGCAACTTCATTCACAGAGTATACAACAGTCTGCAACAGCTATATAATCCTTTTTTCTATACAGTACTAAATTCGTCCCGAACACGGACACTGTTTTTTGTTTTGGAATTTTTAGATATTTTGCCAAACGAAAATATACGTAATCACCTGAGGAAAACCAGAAGATTTGGTGAAAAACCTTGGTGATTACGGGTCCGGATTCCGAAAACCCCGGGGTAACCCTGTGCGACCAAATTAACTATAATACATACCATACCTACCCATACCTACCAAAACCCATATATACCATACCTACCCATACCTACCAAAACCCAGAAAAGTCAGAATCTTGCAAAAAAAAAAAAACACCTCAAAATCAAAAAAAATTTCACGAGATGTTCAAAAAAAGTTGTAAACCACCGAAAATTCAGTCTACGATTGCGCAAGACAAATATATTTCTTTTTATTAACAAATTGTTCCACATAAAGGTATATTTATCTTAACCTTGAAACCTGAAAATATTTCAGATATGTTCAGAACAAGGTGCGTGGCAAATAAATCCAATGGCCCAACATATTTTACGACAGTTTGTAAAAGGTGTTAGGACAATTGGATATATTTTGAGTATGTGATGTGCGCATTTCATATTTTGATTTTTTGCGCGCAAGGAAATTAAAACGCGCGCATTCAATTACGTAGCATGCAGTGATTTTCATGCCCTTAATTCCACTATAAGCATGCAACTTAGCGCGTTTAATTTTAATAAGCATGAAACTTTGCGCACTCTATTCTGAACAACATGCACCTTAATTAATTTTCAAGTCTATACTATATAGAGCACACATCACTATTTGCACATGGAGTACACTCACTGACCGTACTCCGCATTACCTGAGCAGCACGCGCGCGCCGCTTATGTTAATTAGCTGCGTACGACCATGGTGTTTTTATCATGCATGGTTCGACCAAGCTTATGTATGAACAATGCAAGACAACACGGAATGCAACATGGCAAACATTCTATATTGCTAGCTATTGCGGCCATATATAAACGTGATCTGCAGAGTGTTTTCACGGCGGCTATGTTTGGGAACAAGTTAAAGTGTCGAAATACAAGTAAACAAGAAAACCATTATTTTAAAATACTTGTCCGTCAACAAAGCAACACATCAAAACACTCTATTTTTCCTGGCGGTCTTTTCAACTGAAAACTTATAGTACAATTTATAAAGCGCGCGCAATGCATTAGCAACCTAAAGAAACGAGCCTATTCTCCACTTTGGAGCGAGAACTACGTTTCTTATATTGTTAAGCCCCTAATCCAAGATATTTTAGGCAGAAAATGGTTTCTTTTTTGTTGTTTTTTTCTGCATCGAGTATTCTTGGACTATTGTTGCTTATATTCAAAGTGGCTTCGCGGTTTTTTTGTTTTGTTTTTCTCTTTTTCGCAATATTTCTTTTTTCCCACTTTGATTTGATTTCCTGTAAGTATTTTTCAGCAGGAAAACAGATTTCATTTTCCCGTTGTGTTAAATACTTACAGAAAGTTACTGGCGCAAAAGTATGACGATAATGAATTATAGCTTTATAATATACATGGGAAACGAAGCAAAAGCTGCGCCCTATTTCTAGCTGCCTAACCTTCCTAACTAATGCGCGCGCGCACATACCCTTTCAAAAACCTGCAAGGGAAACCTCCGAATGTGGAGTCTCGGTCATGCCCCTAGCTTAACTTAACCTAGTGTGCCATCGCACCTGGTGAGCTTCCACAAACAGGGGTAAGGTTTGCATGCCTTATGTTAATTGTCTTCCATGATATCGTTGAATCGCCAAAACAGAGAGGGGACCTAATCTCTGGTAGCGAACTGTTTTCATATAACTCGGGGCAGAAAACTAACGTTCGAAACCAGCGATATACATGCACGACGGCCTAGACTGGCCTAGACTGTTTATCATTACAATAATTAGGTCATTTCAGGCCTAATCTGATCTTTTTGTAGGTGGAAACCAGAGTACCCGGAGAGAACCCACATCTTTCAAGATCTTGTCCAAAAATGATCCACTACGATATCCACCAATCTTCTTACGGGTACCATTTGCACCCTCTAAGCTATGGATACCATTTTCATCCAGTTTAGTTATCCTACCCAAGCAAAACTATGCCAGCTTTTAAACTAACAAAATTTTGCCTACACTCATATATTACGTACACAAATATACAGATCATGTAATGGATTAAGGTTAAGGCTATAGGGTTAGATTAAACCCCAAGCCAAAGCCTAACACATTTCATGGTATTTCTAAACATTTATGAACATAACATATTGATATAAACAAAACTTTTAAGTCTGGCAAGGCTTATACTCGTCTGCCTATATTCTGGATACTAGCTGCGCGTTGCGTTTATCCATGCACAGACACGGAGACACCTAAGCAGTACATTTACACAAAGAGAAGAACATTGACACGAACAGAACACAAATAGCTAGTGGGTCTCACTACGAGTTACCAGAGTGAAAAAAGAATGTTCACTCTTTTTTACTTTATGTAGTAGTCTTGTATTTGAAGCAAATACATTGCTCCACCAAGTATTTGAAGCAAATAAATTGCTCCATCGTCTGGACCGTAACACTTATTGAAACCCACCAATAACCGAACCGAGTGCATGCAAATAACCACGTGACACGTGACTTTCGATTGCAGATGATGTCGAAATTCTGATTAACTGAGGTCAAAATTGTACCTCAATATTTATTAACATGCAAGCATCTGAATAAAAATCAACCTTCCGTGCAAATGTACTACTAACGACAGACCGCCAGGAATTGTAAATCGGTTAACCGAAAGACTTTACCGACCACATGCAGATAATCCTAAAGATATACTGCCTGTTAGCAGGCTAACTACTGCCTGATAGCAGGCTAACTACCAGACTAATAATCAAAACCCTCTAACCTCGAGGCAGTCATCTCGTTGCCGTCGTGCAGCTTTCGTAGTCAAGGTACATTGGTAGGTAACCGTCGATTGCGAGGTACATGTTATCCATAAATGTTCATAATTATCCATATAAGTTCACAATATCTCCAATAGTACACAGTGGCAATGCAGTAATCCGTATTTATCCATTGGTATCCGCTACGACGCGTACTGGACCCTCCCATCCGACACCTCAAATGCGGTTTTGGTCAGTTTTAAATTTTTTTTTGTCAATATTTTTAATACAATTATAGTATCTGTGAGAAACACATTAACTAATCAAAAACATGAAATTCTTGAAAGATTAAACCTCAAAGAATGTTTATATTAAAGATATTCAAGCCAAAATCCTATAGTCTACATCAAACTGATAAGGGGAAAACGTTGGATAAAGTCATACAAACAAAAAGCCGGCCACAAATCAAAGTTTGGTGGTACTTCGGCTTGATCTTTCCAGGCCTACAGGCGAGCTGTTCCAATATCATGCCACAAACAAAAAGCACAAACGCAAGGTTGGCCAGACCTTACATTTGCGCTAGTTGATCACGACAAGGCGATCAGAGCAACTCGACTGTAGGTCAGGAAAGCCAGAGTCGAAGTATCGCCGAACTTCGACGAATGGTCGACCATTCATCTGGCATGATTTTATCTAGCGTTTAAACCAAATACCAAAGTGATGTAAACTTCAAAATTTCATTTCAAATATCTTTCAAATAAACAAACTCCCAGATAGAAACTCCCGAATTTCAAACATTTTGATTTCGTTTTAAGAGCTTTTTCACAAATACCAAGAAATGTAGAAAATTTGAATAAATTGCGAAATTAAGGAAAATGTGCCACATTTGAATTTGTTTTGTGCATTTGGGCGTCCTCAGGTTGGCCCCCCCCAACGTAATTTCGAACACGCACAACGAGAATCACGAGAAAAATATTCTTTCTGTAATGTACAACATCTTTGACGATGGTATGGCTATTCATGGTTAGGGTCTCTGGATGGTTCCACGTCGACTTTCGCTTGACAGGTCTTTGCGTCTCATTCACAATTGGCTGATTGAACGAAATCTTGTGAAGTGGATGTATCTGCTTTCGAGCGTTCCGTCACTGCCAGACTATGGTATTAAGTTTTACTTTATGTTTTCAGGCAGTTGAATTCATCTCAATCTACGCTGGAACAGACAGTTCGAGTATGTTACTATATACCTTCGTTACAGTCTTTGGATGAGTGGCAATCTCTTCCTAACTTTGCGATGAATGTTGTGGGTTCGCAAAGGAATCGAGCTGGTGGCTGGTCTCATTTGTCCTTTGCCTTCTTGTCTTTCTGATTTTGCTGCGAGCGCCTCTTCAAATCTGTGAGTGAGGTCTTTCTGTACTGTTTGCCATCGAAATGATCGACTTTGAGGCAGTCTAAAAAATTGAACAATAATGTTTTAGTTTCAAAACAGCGAAGAGTTATTTAATGTTTTTACACAGGGTGTAGTTGTCCAATTCAGTTTATTTGAATTTTAAAGAATGCGTGCATTAAAATTTTATGCTTAAAATTAGGGCATGAACCACGAGGACTTTGACAACCTCAAGAAACTCAAAAGGCTTAGCCTTCCCTCTCAGAGAACAATTTGTACATAAACGACACGTTTGTAAAAGCTGAAATGTTCGAAAATGATATGCCACGCCTGTATGTGAAATTGAACATGCCTAAAATAAGTCGGCAATTCGCTCGGTGTGGAGAAAGTTTCACCAATATTGGAACTAAACTTGACTCAGAGTGTTCATATAAGGCTACAAAGCAATGCTAGAAGACGTTCTAGGTGTATTGGGAAAGCTTGAAAACGAGAAACAAACAAGGAGGAAAGCCTTTAAATGGACATTATGCTTACCAAATGCTTCGGCATTTCGACTATGTCGGCGACTTGAATTAGTTCACTTTTTCTTCAAATTTTCGCCCTGAAATTGCAGATAAACTATATGTGATTTAAATAAATCAAAGCTGGGGTATTTCTGAACATTAATACTGCTAGGAAATTAGGGAGAGACACTGAGAAAATAAAGCGACTGAGCGCTTGAATGGGATCAAATTGAATACGAACTACAATGAATATAGACACGTGTTTTAAAAAAACAGCAATAACTTAACAAGAACAACTCAAAAACGTTTAAAAAATAGCTAAATTTAATACTGACCTTTCCCTCTGCATGGTATAACGATTTTATTTCGTCGAAAACGTTTCATAAAAGCGAAGTTTTGTACTATATAACTTTAGTGTGTACTTTCCTACTACTTCGAGTCAGAATGACGCCTCAAAGCTTCGAGCAGAGATATTTAAATTTGCCACGAATGCGTGTCAGGTATCGGTCAGATCTCTGATTGGTTTAGCTTGCAAAAGCTTTGCCAGTATTGGCTACTGCTAAATGCATGCATTGGTCTGAACTCCCTTGAGGATTAAATACGGTCGCTTGGTTGGAATGTTTAATTATTTGAATATACAGGGTGTCTCAAAAAACCCAAAATCATTGAAATTGACGTATTGTTCGATATTCAATGCCCTAGCACTAAGTTAATCCCACGAGTGCATAAAAGATTGACATAACTGCTATAATGAATGGTAATACTCAGCGTAAACTTGTTATGTCAGGCATAAAGTACTAAACCCACGAATGCATATTACGCATATTACAATTTACGAAGCATTTTTAAATTCCCATGAGCAAACAAACGTTCACTTTACAAAGATATTTTAATTTTTTTAAACAAATTAATCACCCTGTCAAAATCCTTTGTGTTACGGCATTGAAATTCGAACAATACGTTATTTCAATGATTTTGGGTTTTTTTGAGACACCCTGTATAGATATATATATATATATATATATATATATATATATATATATATATATATATATATATATATATATATATATATATATATATATATATATATCTTGTTTGTCGATGCTGACACGTATCTGAAGAGTGCTCAATGCAGGTAAGATTTTGCAGAGCAAAACTATTATTAGTGTAGACTAAAGCCCGGCGCACACTAGAGCTATGTGCTTAGCAAAATGTCATTCGTGACTGTTGGCGTAAGGAGATAGCTCTCGTGTGCGGGCGATTTACGAACGACTTTTGTCATTCGTGCCACTTACGCCAAATATCTAACATGTTTGATAATTTCTGCCTCGCGTGCCAAAATCTTTCCGTGTGCGGCGGACGAAAGCTATCTGCTTACGGATTGTCGTAACAGCGCATGCGTGGTATACGAAAGTAAACATCCAAGATGGCGGCGCAAAATGAATTGCTGGCCGAGGCAATTTTAGAGGACAAACTTGTCGAACTTTGGCCTGAATACAAATGTTTATACGATGTGAGTTCTGCAGATTTTAGAAATAGGGACAAAAGGGAATGTGCGGTGAAAGAAATAGCCAGTAAGTTTGTCCTCTAAAATTGCCTCGGCCAGCAATTCATTTTGCGCCGCCATCTTGGATGTTTACTTTCGTATACTACGCATGCGCTGTTACGACAATCCGTAAGCAGATAGCTTTCGTTCGCCGCACACGGAAAGATTTTGGCACGCGAGGCAGAAATTATCAAACATGTTAGATATTTGGCGTAAGTGGCACGAATGACAAAAGTCATTCGTAAATCGCCCGCACACGAGAGCTATCTCCTTACGCCAACAGTCACGAATGACATTTTGCTAAGCACATAGCTCTAGTGTGCGCCGGCCTTAAGGGGCTTTCCCAACTGGGTCTACTGGAAAATTTTCATTTTTTCTGATGAGAAAGTGCGTTGCGTTTGATTTTATATTATTATATCAAAGAAAGTTTTATTTACTTTTTCCCATTAACTATTCTCTCAAAATGTATCGCGTTTCATTCATATTGGGCGTGTATTCACTGAAATGAAATGTATACAAAACAAAGTGTAATCGGTGTGCATCCATGTTCATTCACCGGAAATGAAATATACAAAACGAGGTGCCATCGGGTGCATTTTTGAGTACTGTTCATTCACCGGAAATGAAATGTACAAAAACATGCTACCGTTGTTTGCATCTAAAGAGAAAAACGTTGGAAAAAAACACTATTTATTCCTACACAAGGACTTTGATCGGTCAAAAAAAACTTTCCCAATTTACGTTTAACGGACAAAACCTTTTTTTCGGGCTAACACCCTGTAGTATCCAGTTGCGATATACTGTAAGGCATTCACAGTTTGATATCCATGCAAAACCAAATTTTAGTAATTAGTATATCCTGTGGATATCGGGATACTGCAAATTTCAGACCCTGAGCGGTGGTTGTTCAACAAAGACAGGTTATATATAGATGCATCTTTCACTGTTCGTGAACGCTAAAGCTAATCCTTACCGAAGGCCTGCAAATAATTATTTTACTTCGAAGGACAAATGTCTGACCAAGCCAAAAAATTGGTCGGATATTTATCAATTCTTCCCGGACAGTGGACAGAGTAAAATTTTTCATATTTTGTTTTGAAAATTAGCACGATGTATTTTTTCCTGGTCATGTTAGTCCGCACTGCACTGCATCTAAAACTTAGTGGAGAAGTGTAAAATAGTGGAGAAGTGCTGTCTATATTGCCTTCTTGTTGGTTTCATTAATAAAGAATGTGTTAAATAAACAATTTTTTGAGATTGGAGATTCGTCCAGCTTTAATAAATCGGTCCGGTCACATGTCCGCTCATAAAAAGCTTTGATCGGATAAAAGGTAAAATTTGACCGGACAATGTTCGATGACCGACACTAATTTGCAGGCCTGGTTACCAGACAAAACAGCAAGACCTGAAGCTCTATCCTGTCTTTCGGCAAAATTTGTCGTCATTCTGAACGAAGGTTATGGCTTTTCTCCAGTTTCCTTCGTCAGGGAATGTTGACAATGTGGGCTGGGATAAACCCCATATTGACCCTTCCATCATCAGAGGTGCCCCTATTAAGCCTCCATCAAGTTGAGCTGCGTCCTTGGTATTTGAGCTTGGATCTCAGTAAATAAATAATTTCTTTGTACGTTTGCATGGCGATAAAACATATGATAATAGTTTTGTTTGTGGAAACACCGCGCAAATTTATTATTGCAGTAATAAATTTACGTTGGTGTTTCCACAAACAAAACTATTGTAAATAAATAATGGTTTATTACCCACCTGTAGTTGCACAAACAACCTCTGTAATTGATAAGGAATACTTTTCTCAGCCTCTTCCTTAGTGCCTTTAAATTGCCACCTTAATTTACATATGGAGTATCAACTAATCGGCTACATTGTAGATATTTGCCGAACAGAAGTACTAAGGCAAAAAAAGTAAAGTTGTCTGTTCCTGGTCAGTGTGCGCGTCATCTTTGACTACAGTATGCTCATCGACGTTTTTCATGAAAACCGCTGATAAGTGATAAGATTTATTTCTCAAGGAATATAATACCAAAATAGACTAATATTAAAAGGTTTACTGTAAGCTCCCGCCATTTTGACGAGCCGTATTTGCATTAAATCCCATTTACTGAGTTTCGAATATCGGGTTAAAATAAACTGCAATCACCGTACGAGAAGCATTTTGACGTATGCGATTTATCGAAAACACAAAGAGTGCAATGGAATAAAACGTATAGTACAATTGCACTCACAACAGTGCAATGAAACGTATTCCATTGCACTCTTGCGAAATGGAATTTTCTATTGAATATCACGTGACCATAAATAGCCAATTAAACAATCAGAATTCAATAAGGTATTATATAAAAATCTTTGAACAATGCGGTACCCAGATATGTTTATATAAAATTGGTCAGTGACTAAACAAGTTACTAGAAGCTCTGTGGGCAATGATCTGTGGATACCGCAAACTAAACTAACAATTAGACAACATACAGTGGTGAAACTTTATATAATAGTTTACCATTCGAGATAAGACAATCTACATCACTCAATACTTTTAAAATAAGAGCTTAAATAAGCACTTTTTAAATATATAAGCACTTATGAGATTATAATGTAGTTCTTTGAATTTTGTATTATATATTTACGTACTAGACTACTAGTTAAATGTACAATTTTAACTTGTTATAAATTGTAAAAGGTAGTCAATAAGACAGAAGGCTGATTGTAAGATTAGCTCTGCTAAACTGGTTTCTATCGAGTATTGTACCTTCTTTAAATAAAGTTTATTATTGTTTTTATTATTATTATAAGCCAATTGTAAGTTACCTTTATGAGAGAGATTTACGATTGTATATGTATGTAAAGAAAAACATTTGATAAAGTTTCCATTATTAGAGTTTCACTTACTTGTAAATTGCATTTCTAAACTCTGGTGTCATGAATAACGTCTGTAAGAGACTGTTCAGATAACATGTCATTGCTTGGTTCACTAGACCAACATGACCTAGAAACGAAATAAGATACAGTTCTTAAGGTTCAGTGTTGAAAAATACAATAATTGAAAAATACATACATTTTCCTTGTAGCAAATCATGTCGGCCATAATATGTCACGTGGAGTGACTTTATATCTGATAAAGCATGAGGCATTATATAATTGTTCATCCTAATTAGTATGATTATATAATGGTTCATCCTAAGTAGTATTCTTTTGTAGTCGTATTGTAAGCTATTCAAAAGACTCGTTGTCGTGTTTTATCAGACATAAAACGCTCGGCTGCGCCTCACGTTTTATATCTGATAAAACACTCCTACTCGTGTTTTAAATAATACATAAAACACCAATAACTTTGGCACTGTATTTCTTCACCCTGAAACATTACCGAATTATTTAATAAGTTAACAAAAAATTGCATAAAATATAAAATAAAACACACAATATGTTCAATATTCAGGGTGCGATAATTCAATATTTTTGGCCGTACCTGACTGGTACTCCGACAACTTTTGCCGCGTACCTGATCTGGTACAAACTTAAGAGTCAAGACGTACCTAAGACTACTTCCGAGTCATGCGTTTTTATCCCTACGTATAGTTTTAATACTGGTCCAAAAGCAAAAAATGTATGGGCAATTTTGTACAAATGAATCTTTAATTATGGTATTTGTACAACATAATATAACTGTTCTCAAAGTGTCGACGTTGTGACTCGAATGCCATTGCTCATTTACAGTGGATTTACCAAGGCTGCTATCTGTCTGACCTCAGCTACATACAGTGGTGGCAGGTTGGCTAGTTATTGCTAGAAGGGAAATGTAAGTACGCGAATAGTAAATTTCCGCGTACCTACGTGGTACTTGGCTAAAAACAAAGAAGTACCAGTCCATAAATTTGGCGTACCTCGCACCCTGATATTACATATAAGTCACGTTTTAGGGGGAGTTACTATTTTTAGGGTTAGGATTAGTGTTTGGATCAACCTCGTACCCAGAGCAGGCCCTGGGTACAAGGTTGTGTTTGGATTAGGTAAAGGGTATTAAGATTAGGACAATTGTCTTTTGCCGCCAAAAATTGCAAGGCTGCTGTTGTTATTAGAGGGTCTAGATGGGGGGTTTGAAATCAGTAAATGGTAAAAATGTTGGTATTTTAACGGTAAATCTTTGAATCTGCTGAAAAGTGTTCTGAAACGATAAACAGTATTTTTTCCCTTACGCTTCACGGTAAAATTTTAGTGTTTTCACGATTGATGGTAACCGAAATTCAGAAAATTGAACAATCACAACTCACAATATAACCCATCAACACCCTCTTATTATACTCAGTCTAATGCCAGGCAATTTTATTTGTCGCTGGGAAAGTGCTGCCAGGTTAATGAGACTATCTGCCCATGTGTCAACGTTAAACTTTAAGTGTAATTGCGGCCTAATGCACCCTACTTTGTTATTTTACTTTGTCTAATGCCAGGCAATTTTACTCATCAAGGGGAGAGTGCTGGCACTCAATAGAATATACATGTAAGTGTGTAACATTCTACATATACCTGTATCAGACTTGGAAAGATCAGTGTAACTACTGCTAGTGTTGGAGTACGGTCCGTAGTAAGGTGTGGTTGACGTGGAACCAGCTGACGATGATGAATCGAACATGTTAGCAACACTGCCATCTGCTAAGGCATCATTCTCACTCGCACTCTGTTCCTAAACATAGAAAAAAAAAGACAAAAACATATTTACTTTCAGAATTATCAGAAAAAAAGTAACGGATAAAGAAAAATAGCTCAGCATTGTGGGCATATATACATGAACCAGGGGCGTTGTGGGTCCCATGTTTAAGGGGGGGCAAGGGCAGCATTTTTCCGACAAACACAATTTTTTCCGACATAAATAATATTATATATAAAATCACATTGAATTAAATATTGACTATTCTACTTATATTGGGAAAACGTAAACTGAGTCGGATTTCCGATATTTCATCTAGATATTTTTTTATTCAAACATGTTTCGCATTGGTTTGTCAGACAATGAAGAGAAGTAAAATTCCCGCTCGTAATTGCAGGTACTATGCTTGTCCACAAAGATTCCGACAACATAACAAATTTCCAATTTTCCGACGAGTCTCAACAATATGGAGGGGGGCATGCCCCCCCCCCCCTGGCCACAGTGCCACTGACATGAACTTGTGGTTAGAGTTCGACAATTGTCTCTCTGTAGCTCGGTCGACTAGAGCGCTAGTTAGAGCGAATAGTGATATGATTAGAGCAATAGTTGCATTTTTTGCAACTGCTCCTGGTTAGATCTGATAAATGTGTAAAATTCACATTTCACATTTCACTCACCCAAAAACCTAATGTATAATAAAACAGTCATTGAATTCAGTTTATCAATGATATCCGTGATATCCTAAGGGGTACATGGCACATATTCATGTCCATATTCATGTTGCCACAAATAACGTTGAATCGACGTTATGAGTGGATGGGCGGGTTTTTATGTGAACTTGTCGATGTTATCTTGTGACAATTTGACAATTAATGTCCAGTGCCAAGTGCTGCCACCCGGTGCCACCCACCGACCATGACAAAACCACAGAATAGGAAGGTATATCGCGGCGGGTGCAGTGCCAAGTGCTGCCACCCGGTGCCACCCACCGACCATGACAAAACCACAGAATAGGAAGGTACAGCAGTCTAAGTGTAACTTGAGTCGGTTCCTTTATTGTTTTACCTCCACAAAAATTTTAACTCGCTCACGCCATCCTGGCTAGTACAACCGGAAGTTTTTATCAGGTTTTGGTAGGTACAAAGTGCCGGTTGCACTAGCCAGGATGGCGTGATTGATGACGAAATGCTTGTAAAAACGCGGACAAATACTTGCTTGAGTTACACTTCTGCTATACCTTCCTATTCTGTGACAAATCCATGGAAGAAAGTCACTACGTAAAAAACGCTGAATTGCTTATTTGAGTAGCAGAATATGACTATCGACTATTCTAGTCTAACATATATACCAGTTCTTCACATCATTTTATAGACAAAATAAAAATACCAACAAACCTGGGTGCTTTTCTTAATACGTATCGGATTAATGTCATCCTTTTGCCTCAGAAAGAAGCGTTGCTTTTTCTTATCCGGTGGTTGACAAACATCGTCCAATGTCATATTCTCGATGCCATCTCTCAAAACCGTTTCTGCGACTTCGTTGTTTTGCCCACTTTTGTTATTTTTCCACACAAGCAGAAAGCTGTCTTCTTCGTAGCTAAACTCCTGCGCCGTTCTCTTGTATAGATCGAGTATCGATGTGGACCGAGGCAGATTTACGTGAAACTTCGATGGTCCAGTGTCGAAAGAGGTTTCATCTTGAACGATGCAAACCACATCATTTTGGCCGTCTGCCATCTCGCCATTAACCGGTACCGCTTGTAGCGTAGTTCCAGGAACCATAATGTAACTGACGATGTGCGTGGAAGGTTAACGGGCTTTAAAAATTCTCATAATTTCGTGAAATTGTCCAGCAAATTCCCACTTTCATTTCGCATGAAATTTCCGCCATGTTTGAGGGAAGCCGAGGCGTGACGTCATGTTGCCTGCACAGCCTGCAAGACGATCACTTTAACTGGAGTGATATGTACAACAAGAAGTGATCTCACTCTAAAAACCTGGAGTGGTCAAACTTTCAGTAATTGCTCGGTTGTCGACATCAACTTTGTTTTTATACACGGGCAAAAATCTCACAACTTGTCATCAAGATGTGTTCGAAACAGGATTGTATGGCAAGCTTGTCGACAAGTTGTAACAATGCTGTTATTTAAATGGTTATTTAATTAAAATCAGTAAATCACCGAAACACATATTAGATAAGCCCACGAAATGTTGAAAATGGCGCTTTACCTACTCAAGAATTTAAAATTTTCCCGGGGGAACATTTCACCGAAAACCCCTATACATTTTCACATAATAAACAAACTTTATAGCGCAAGGAAAAAGGCTCCCTCCTGGGATTTCTCCTGCCTCCTTGACTAGAAATCCTGGCTACGTTACTGTAAAAGCATTCCTTTCTGGCGGCAGGGCATTTTTTAAAGAAATTACAACTATACTGGGGCTAACGCCCGTGTTCTAAAAGCTTACTCACACTCAATGAGTGGAAGTTCAATCTGAGCTTCTCTTCAGCGTCATTGCTGCTTTTGAATAGCTGGAGGGTAAGTGTCGTTACTGTCGTATCTTACTATGTGACTACTCACCCTCCAACAATTCAAAAACAGCATTGGCACTCAAGAGAAGCTTAGATTGAACCTCCACTCATTGAGTGTAAGTGTGAGTGAGCTTTTAGAATTAGTACAGGCGTAAGTCTCAATGAGGGCCTTTTCCCCACACAGTTACGCGTACATAAAGGCCATGTTCAGTGCAGACTTTTATAAGATGGGATGTCGAGAGGTGTGAGAGGATATGAGAAAGCAAGCAGATGCAGTTTTTTCAACAAGGATGAATTTTTACTTTTGATCAAAAGGGCCCAGTTCATCTGAAAATATTGTTTCACTACTGGGGCAAGCAAAGGGCCTACTGGGGTAAATGCCCCAGTAGTTATATAGTTCAAAAAATGCCCTGCCTGGCGGGTTTAATTAATTAACATTCGCTTTTATACCGGCATCATGTTGTCCAGCCAACTCCATTTCAAAATGTATGCCGCCCGTTATAATGAAAACATACGAATTTTATTAAATACAGAAATATACAGCTTAACTCTACGCATGGAAACATTGACTAATTGTATACATTTACTGCAATTTCTGAAGAGAAACGTTCAAATATTTGTTATATTACAACGTTGCACATGCAACAATAGGGACGTGTTTAAATAAAAAGCATTAAAATTATACTGTCTTATGTAGTTAGCTTTTTTAGTTGGTTAATTTTACTCGTTTTGTAAAAGTTTGCAAATATTCTGAAATTCGCTTCCAGTCTTTTACGCAAGTGCGCGGTTGTCGCCATCGTTGCCTGGTAACGTGACCAACTAGTCCCAGTTCTTTTTGTGGTGTCGGTGTTTGCGGAAGATTTTTGATCGTTTCAAAATCGTCTCCTCCATTTCTTGATTGGAAGACTTACCGGCGCTGTTATCTCGCTCTTTGTCGTCTATGACGAGAGAAAAAACCCTTAGGATTCTAGGGTATCGTAAAATCGTAAAAATTTATTTCAAGACGCTAGCCTCATGAATATAAGTTGGTTTTCATGAGGGGCGTCGTCAA